TCCTTATTAGGATATTACAAGGTGATCGCTATTACAAAAGAAGCCAACCGGTGGTCCTTATTAGGATATTACAAGGTGATCGTTGTTAAAGTAGAATCCAACCGGTGGAGGGAGGAACAGGATGAGGGAAGAAGAAGAAAAGAAAGAAAAGATGGATGGGTATTTTGGGGAACAAAATATCATCCACTACCTCTGATGAACACGTTCGGAGGTAACAAACTTGCTGAATGATTTGAAGAAATTTTCAGATTCCAGAGGATGAGTTCGGAGGCATTGCCGAATGACCCTGAAGCGCCGAAAAGTAAAAATTTCAGTGTTCAGAAGTCGATTCAATGCTACCGATTTACATATCAGTTGGGTGAACTGGAGACAAAATCATACACACCCTATTGAACTACCTACAGTTGAATATGCTAAACATTGGCGTGTTCAACCGTGATAGATAGTTTAGCTAGGTGTGTATATTTTTGTCTCCAGCTAATCCGCTCCTTTCATATTATCCTACGAAAGCTCCATAGTTCCTACTACAAGTCTCGCTCCCTCCATTTTGCATGTATAACGCGTGTCACCCTATTTCTCCACTTCTCTCTTCAGTCCTCACCTCGTGTTCTTTCTCTCTCCTGATTTCAGAACTGAAGTCAATTCGCCGCTACTTCTGTTCTTCGACTACTCGCCACCATCAACGCTGCCATAGGACCATTCTATATATTGAAATCCTAGCCCCAACCTGAACTGCTCGAGGACAAGGGCTCGCTTTCGCCATGGTGAGATCAAGAGATCGATCCTAGCTGTTTCTTATCCTCCTCTTTGCCATGATTTTTTCCTCCATCTCCTTGCATGATACACACGTATACCCATTCTCTCCTTTCTTCCCGCTCTCCCCATCTTGTCTATCTATTTTGCCGCCGCTGCTTCTCTTCATTTCTCTCCCTCTTTTCCTTTATCCCTCCTTCCTCTCCCTCGTCTGAGAATTCATGGAAGCTGCTCTAGAGCCTTTAGCCTCTACTTTCCCTCTTTTTAATGGCATATTTGGTGACTTATTATTTGAATGGGGTTTATCTCCATAGTGAAAACGGTAATAGCACTGGTGCCGTTACCATCTCTATTTCTGGGTGAAGATAAAATTTCGGTGGCTCTGCTTCCCGTCTCTATTTCTGCTCAAGGTGAAGGACTGAATTCCTTATATCTCCGATGTCTTGAATCACATTTTCTTCATTTCATTTTATTACTGTTGTCATGTCTTGAATCGCATTTTCATGATTTCATTTTATTACTTTTATCATGTCTTGAATCACATTTTCTTGATTTCATTTTATTACTTTTATCATGCAATGCTTTCGTCTTCCTAGGCCATCTTTAGCCATGGAGAAGGAGCGATTGGACGAGTTTTCTCCTCGGGAAGTTCTGGAAAACTGCCTCCAGAGCTTAGAATCTGAAATAGGTTCATCCAAAGCTAGTAGATCGGATTCTGATTCTCGACCAAATCGCAGAGTCGTCTCCCATTGACAGGAATTCGTCCAGCTGATAAAAACGAGAACAATAAAACGATTATACACCTTCCCTCCTTTTGGAGTTCCAAAGGCTTCAAAAAGGAAGAGCATAAACTGCTGCGAACCTCCTCTCGCTGGCGAGCTGAGAGGGCAGTGTTCCCCCGAGCTATGGTGACAGAGCACGGCTCACAGGGGGCTGGCTATCCTATAGAAGGAAACCGGGAAAATTAAGATAATGATCGATGATTATTAAGGTAATCCGCAGGTGTTTAAATAGGCCGATGGCCGTTACAACGATGTCTGAAAAAGTAAAAACAGCAGAAGAAGATCATAACAGAATTCATAACAAAAAGATGCGATGGTGAGACATTGTTGTCTCGATCGTTTCTAACGGTCTCATGCTGTATCAATTGCCACGTTACCACTACGTGTTAAGTCATCCTGATGTGGGCCCCCAATCTGGTTCGATCCTCAACATTCCCGTSCCCTTAGGATTAGCCATGTCCTCAAGAGCCAGGGAATTTAGTTTTGAGATCCGCCCAGGTCTCCCGGGTGGTGTCTGAAACTGGAACTCCTTCCCACTAAATTAGTAGCTCAGTCTGTGCCTGGTTGTTGCGTTTGATCATTCGTCTATCGAGAACAGCCTTAGGAGTTGGGTGGAGAGATCTGTCAGTCTGGAGGGGTGGTATGCTAGGACTGTGGATAGCTCCGGTACCCAGTTTCTTTTTAGCCGAGATACATGGAATACTGGATGCAAGCGACACCCTTCCAGAAGAGCCAGTTTGTAGGCAACTTGACCCACCTTGGTAGAGATTTGAAATGGCCCATAGTATCTGACCAATAATTTCTGTGATTTCCTGGTGGCGATGGAGCTCTGGCGGTAAGGTTGTAGACGGAGGAAAACCCAGTCCCCAACTTCAAAAGTTTGCTCAGTTCTTTTGCTGTCTGCGTATTGCTTCATCCGGTGCTGGGCTGATTGCAAGTGTTCTTTTAACCTGGCTAGGATCTGATCTCGTTCCTTGAGATCCTGTTCCACGGAAGCTACTTGGGTTATGCCAGGTAAGCAAAGATGGAGGCGGGGTACCATAAACTGCCTCAAAGGGAGTGATATTGGTAGCTGAGTGGTGGGTGGTGTTGTACCACCATTCAGCGAGTGACAGCCACTTGAACCAGGAGCTTGGGTGAGTGCTAGTAAAGCAATGGAGTTAACTTTCCAGAGTTTTGTTCAGTGCCTCCGTTTGGCTATCAGACTGAGGATGGTAGGAAGAACTCAGACTCAGAGTGGTCCCCTGCAGTTTGAACAATTCTTGTCAGAACATGCTAGTGAACACGGGTCTCTGTCATTGACAATAGAGGTCGGCATACTGTGCAGTTTGAAGATGTTGTCTAGATACGCCTGAGCTACATCCCGGGCTGAGTAGGGGTGAGAGAGAGCAATAAAATGCCCGTATTTTGTCAGTCTATCCACCACCACTAAGATAACAATTCTTTTTGAGGAGGGTGGCAATCCTTCAATGAAGTCCATCGAAACCTCAGTCCATGGTTTCTCTGGAATCGGCGAGGGCTGTAAGAGTCCAGGTAGTGCCACACTCTCATATTTATTTTGCTGGCATACCATTCATTCGCAGATCCAGGCCTTAGTCTCCTTTTAGTACCCCTGCCAATAGTAGGCCCGTTGTATCCTTTTCATTGTCTTGTGAAACCCAGAATGCCCACCTGAAGGGGAGTCGTGAATTTCTTCGAACAGCCTTCTTCTGTATATAGATTGTGGACCCAGAACTAATCTCCTCTCCCCTTCCTCCATAGTAACCCCCCCCTTTATTGGTAATGTGGGGGAAGCTTCCTGATGAGGTTCTGCAGTTGAGGATTAGCAGCTGTCTCTTCTCTAATTTCATCAATCCATGAAGGTACTGGGGCGGATACAGCTTGAAACTCCCCAATCCTGGATAAGGCATCTGCTTCGCCATTTTCCTTGCCCCTCCTGTAACAGACCATAATCCAACCCAAATCAATTTGCTCAGTAATTTCTGCTGTGAAGGGGTTGCTATCCTCTGCTTGAGAATGTACCCCAAGCTCTGGTGGCCCGTGATGACTTGAAACCTTTTGGTTAAGGAGATAGGGTCGCCATTTGTTAACTGCCAACACTAGGGCCAAGAGTTCCCGTTCATAGGTGGACCATGCAAGATGTTTTCTATTGAGAGCCTTATTGAAATAGGCTAATGGTCTTCCCTCCTAAGATAACACAGCTCCAATTCCTACTGCACTTGCATCACATCTGGTAGTGAAAACCCTTCTAAAATCAGGCAATGCCAAGATGGGTGTTTTGGTTAATGTCTCCTTTAACTGACGGAATGCCTTGTCAGCCTCCTCATTCCATTCCCATGCTCCCTTTTTCAATAAATTAGTTAGTGGCTTAGCAATGGTGCCATAATTCTGAACAAATTTCCGGTAATAACCGGTTAACCTCAGGAACCCTCGTAGCCCCTTCACATTCTTGGGTGTTGGCTAATGAGTGATACTGGAGACCTTCTCTGGATCAACCTCTACCCCTTCAGATGATATTATATGACCCAGATATTCAATCCGGGAAACAACAAATTTGCATTTGCTGGCCTTAGCAAACAAGGAGTGTGCTCTTAGGATGTTTAAGGTTGCTCTGAGATGATGTAAGTGTTCCTCCATCGACTTACTGTATACCAGTATGTCGTCAAAAAAAACCAAAACATACCTGTGTAGAATTGGTTTGAATATTGAATTAATGAGAGCCTGGAATGTCGATGGTGCATTTGAAAGGCCGAAGGGCATCACGAGGAACTCGTAATGACCCTCATGTGTCCTGAAAGCTGTCTTGGGTATATCCTCCGTTCTAATGTGGATCTGGTGATATCCCGAGCACAGGTCTAATTAAGAAAAAACCTGAGCTCCATGAAGCTTGTCAAGTAGTTCATCAATGACTGGAATCGGGAACCCGTCTTTTACTGTGGCTTCATTTAGAGACCTGTAATCCACGCACATCCTCCAGCTTCCATCTTTTTTTTTTTTTTTTTTTTTAACAAGGAGCACCGATGATGAGAAGGGACTAGTGCTGTGCCCGATGATTCCAGACCTTAGCATCTCTGCTACTATCTTCTCAATCTCATTTTTTGCACGTAGGGATACCTGTAGGGTCTCATGTTCACCGGTTTGGTTCCTGAAGAAGGGGAATGTTGTGGTCGAAGGTTCGAATTGGAGGAAGCCCCATAGGTTCCCAGAACACATCCTGGAACTCACTGAGCACCTTCTGCACTTTCGAGTTTTCTGTTGGGACTTCAATTTCTGGGGATAGGGATCTGAATCTCAGAACAAACACCTAGCCCGCCTTTTGTAGTGTCTTGGCTGCACCTTCCCCTTCTGTGATGCTCAGAGGCTTGGGTTGTTGACCGGTGAGAGTGTGATTACCATCCTTATCTGTATAGCAGAGAGTCATAGCTGTGAAATCCCATGTAATGGGTCCAAGTGTTCACAGCCAATGGGTTCCAAGGACGGCATCATACCCCTGTAATGCCAATAAATAAAAATCAGCCATCAAGGTAGATCCACAAGTTCGGATAAGGTAGATCCACAAGTTCGGATAGGTACCTGTTTGCACTTGCCAGCTCCCTGAAAATATTCTCCGTTTGCCACCATCACATTGAGTTGTCAACTAGTATTGTAAATCTAGGGTTTGTATGAGAAAGGAAGAAAGAAAGAGAGAAAGGAGAAGAAGAGAGGAATGTGTCGAATGGTGTGTTCTTGTTATTGTTCACACCCTTAAAAAGCATTTTATATTTTGAAACAAGTAATTACAAAGAGGTCCCTACTTCGGCACCCAAATACAAAAAGAGTACAAAGAGAAGAGGTAAAAACTAGAAACACCATTGCCTAAACTTTCTCAGAACTCCCCCTCAAGCTAACATATATGTCAATTATGCCTAGCTTGGTAAGGTTCTTAGCAAACTTTGGGTGGTGAGCACCTTTAGTGAGGCAATCGGCTAATTGGTCTTCTAATCTTACAAAAGGAAGGCAAATCTCTCCACTAGCAATTTTTTCTCTAATAAAGTGTCTGTCCACCTTAATATGCTTTGTATGATCATGTTGAATAGAATTGTGGGCAATATTTATGGCTGCTTGATTGTCACAATATAGTCTCATTGGGATATCTGCTTGGATGCCCATCTGAGCCAATAAGGTCTTCAACCAGAGTAGTGCAGACACTCCATGAGCCATTGCCCTGTATTCTGCCTCAGCACTAGAACGAGCAACTACAGATTGTTTCTTACTTTTCCATGAAACCACATTGCCTCCAACTAATGTACAATAACCAGATATTAATCTTCTATCATCAATGGACCCTGCCCAATCTGCATCTATGTAAGCCTCAATCTTTAGATGGTTGTGGTTGGAATACAACATCCCTTTACCAGGGCATCCTTTCATATAGGCTAAAATTCTATTAACTACCTGCATATGAAAGGTCCTGGGTTCATGCATATATTGGCTAACCACTCCAACACCATAGGATATGTCAGGTCTAGTCAAATAGAGATACAGGAGGCAACCCACCAGTCTTTGATATACCCCTCTGTCTGGAAGAACTTTTCCTTCAGTAGCCCTTAACTTGTGGTTGAGATCAATTGGAGTTTCTACAGGTTTAC